ATAATCTACTCTTACTTGGTCCTTCAGGTTTTTAAAATTTCAGCGATTGTGCCTGCATGGATATGAAATATCTCAGGGCAAAAAGTAATAATTCTAAGAATTGTTATACTGACAAACAAATATAACAAAATGTATTCATCTAACAATCCTATATAAAAATGTAAGTATCTATATACCAAGTAAATTCTAGAGACTGGCTACTAAATACACTGGTCTATAAGGGGAAAGCCTCAGAAATGCAAATAGCTTAATTTTACCAGAATTGGAACACTAATAAAGGAAAATTAAGTCCTGAGTATTAATTGTCTACAGTTTCCTAGATACAGCTTCAGATCAAAATTGCATCAAAATAATTCAAAATGAAGAGGGGTGTATGTGATTATGCTCCATAACTTTTCTACAAAATGTGATATAGCAATGAGAATGGTGCCACACCAATCATTATAAGTGTAACTTTTTATTGATACCAATAACATAACTTTCCATTCTTGTATTGGTTTTTCGTGTAACATTTTCATGCTTTCTGCATGAAAAACTGACAAGCTCTAACATCAGATTAAATGACAAGGTTCCATCTTTATTCTGTATCTAAATTGCACTTTTTGGCTTTTTGAGATTCCAACAGTAATCAGCAAGTATGAACAGACTCCATTTCCCTTGGTATCTTTTCTCCAGCCTGTGATATCCTGGTGGAATCTCTCCCCATGCTCATTACTCACTGCCCTACATTTCAAAGGGAAGTAGTCTAAATGTGAGTGTAAGAAGTGAATTTTCATTGATATGTTTGCACCAAGTGCTTTGTAGTACCTAAGCAAATTTTCCATGTTTTTCATAGTCATCTGCTTTGCTGTTCTCAAAGTGAAGATAAATTTATACACTTCTGTATGGTACCATTTTCATTGTACTTCTGTACTTTGTCAAGAAGTTACAAGGCATCATGGTTATTAGACTCCTCCCTCCCTTGTGGGCAAATACAGTATATTTGCCTGTGTATAAATCTTTACTGTGATATATCTTGGAAACCTTAGCCAACCAGCACCTTTTTATCACCTGTTTTCCAATTCATCTAATCAAAATATGTAAAGTTAACACATTTATCTCAGAGGTCGATAATTTCCCAAAATTTGTAGACCAGTGATATTAGCTAGTTATATAATAAAAGTTGACAAATATCCTGTTGTAGATATCAAACAATTGAGGGAGATTTGTTTTTGGTTTATATTATTGGAATAACATTCACTCAAATCACTTTGGAATGAGGACCTCAATTACTAGTCTCTTTTCAAGCAGCTGGTGGTATATCACAGACATGTCTCTAAATCATGTAACTGACAGTGAGAACAATTAATCAATGGAACAACTTGCCTCCCAGAGTTGTGGATGTTCCGTTGCTGGTGGTTTTCAAGAATATCCTGGTGAACCATTTGACTAGGATGGTATAAGATGTCTGCCTTGAGCAGGGGGTTGGACTAAATGACCTCTGAGGTCCTTTCCAGGTCTTTGATTATATGGTCTGTGTTTTAGATTCTGCTTGAAATATTTCTCAGTTCAAGAAAATCTGAATGATTTGAAATGTATAGAACTGCAGAATCTATCATTTTTAGTTCATTTTCCATTCAAAGTAATCCCAATGCAAGGTTATATATCAGAGAAACAAGCTAATAATCATACACTGGAACAGAAATGCATTAGGGAAAATATATTCAGATGCATATGTAAGAAAAAGTTATACAGTATCATGGTAGACTTATTTGCCCTTTGTAAAATATATATTTTAGGCAGAATAGATGACAGCATTTCAATATAATGCCTACTAAAATGGTATGAAATAATCCACATATCCTTAAAATTAAAATGTTTAAAAAACTAAAAGAAAAGATATATTTAAAAGAAAATATCCAGTTATATTTTAATCTCCCATATCTAAAACATATGGTTATCAATGGGAGGTACAACAGAGATCCAGAATAATTAGCTATAAATGAAAAATGTTCTAGCAGTGTTATAAACATTGCAGGGAGTTGGGCAGCATATAAATGTAAATATATTATTATTACTATTATTATTCTGTTTGTTCACTATATTCAAGTCCTTTTGTATTCTCTTTTATAAAATCGGTTGGATCTTAGTTTAATTATATCTTTAGTAGGCAGACTAAAATTAGTTTGATAAATTCTTTATCATCAATTGGTTTAACTAATTTAAATCTAAATTCAAAGTCCACTCCAAATATGACTAAAGCTATATCCAATGATATATCACATATGAAACAAACCAATTGAATAAACAAGCATTCTTATTTTATTATACCAGGAGCAAGATGCAATGCATAGATGCTTATAATGCCCATATAATAACATAAATTTCCCTGTTCCTCCTTTTTTTAATGATTTTGATTATTATTTTATATTTTAAATATATATGCCATCCAAAATCACTTTGAGTGAGCAGCCTACAAAGATGATTAATAAACTATAAAAAGATTTGCTCATTTCATGGGAACATAAAAGTACTGAATGCTGTATATGCAATTCTCTGTAGAGAAGGGATATGGGCCATAACAGATGTTAGCGATTTATGTTCACATTTTATATGATGGACCATTGCAGAGAAATAATGACCATCTCAAATATTAGTGTAAACCATTGTCTAAAAATTGAATGTTCTGTTATGCAACTAAAATAGTCTCTCTACCAAAACAGTTTAGAGGAAGAAAAAAGCATTAAACAATTACTTTTAATATTAATATTTCTTTGTAAACTATGTTAATTCATTTCATTTTGTTCTTTGTTTAAAAGTAAGGCAATCCACAAGATTTAGTTTAAACTTGATTATTATGGTGGAAATTTTTCAAGGCAATGCTTCATTAGTTTTTCCCAGACTTTTGCCTTTCTTACCAGCTTATCATTGCTTGTGGTTAATCTCCTGAACAAAGGCAATGGCTATCAAGGCTGAACTGAAAAGTAACTAAAAAAAAAAAAAAAACATACATCAAGCTTACCCTAACAGTTAGCTATGACTGCAACTAATGAGAAAAAAAGACAACATTAACCACTATGTAGCTTTATAATAACAAAAGACAAAGAAGACAAATACAAAGTGCTCTTCCAAGCAGAGAATTCAACCATGTAGCAGTTCTGTCATGGAATTCCCAGCCTTATAAAGCAGCTTTATTGGTCTATCTCTCACTTATGTGGTTCATAACCACCTCAATCTTGTCTGATATAATTTTTTCTACAACAATAAACTTTACTTTTTGTCCTTACATAAAAGCAGATTGTGGTAAATATTTTCTTGAACTTTTTGTTTTGCATAAACTCAAGCAAATAAAATGTTTCCTTAATTAACTTAGTTGATAGCCAGGGAACAAAACAATAAAGGCTTCTTCATTTAAAAAAATATCTGCTATTGAATAACTTCATTAATTGTTAATGAAATTTAATTTTCAAAATACTAGCATCAACCAAACTCCTGCTTCTGGGCATTTCAGAACTATCTGGATCTAAATAGTTTATAAAACAGGATGATGGACAGATTGAATCAGAAAAGTACCCATAATCTACAGTTTCCTTTGAGATTCCTATTTCAATATTTGATGTTATGTAATAATTTACATAGTATATATCTGACAATTAAGAAAATATTGTTTAGTATCAAGAATTAGTTCCATACAGTTTTATTCTAATTGGACATCAATTCATGAGCTTTCTAATACAATTCAGACATAAAATATTTGTTATTATTATAGTTTAAATATTTCCATATAGAATATTAGAAGCTTCCATGTGTTGAATTAATCCATTGAATAAACTGGTCTAGGATTGTTGATACTGACTTGTTGCTGTTGTCTTGCTAGAATCCTACCATATCGTATTTACTTATTTTGTATTTTATTGTGGTTTGCTATAATACAAACATCTCAAAGTGGTCTGGAGTCAGTTGGTGTTCAAATCATAAATGAACACATTCCACTGAAACTCTTCTATAAGTACCCACAATCTTTGTCCTGACTTCTTTATCAGAACTTTGTAAGTTGCCAAGTAAGGTTTAAAAAGGATTAGGAAATGTTGAATGTTACTGTTCCACATTTTTACATAGTACATCTCAAACACAAGGAGATTGGAGATGAAAAAAAAGAGAGAGACCAAATATAAATCCCCTTTTAATTCCACACTTATAATTTGTGAATGCCCTAGATTTGTAGATTTCACATCTGTACCCTGGAGTCTTACAGGATGCCAAGAAAATGACTATGGAGATTCCCAATCTTCCAGGTCATAGGAGTGCCAAAGGTGCTTTTTCTGAATGGCAACTGTACTTTACTGTTTTTTTTTCCCTTTGAAAACCTTTTGCTTCTCATCCAAGAAGCTAGAACTAGAACTAGTTTTGGATGAGGTGCAAAATGTTTTCAAAGAAAAAAAACAACAAGAAAATCTAGTTGTCTTTTGGAAAAAGCACCTCTGTTTTTTCTATTTAACTATAGAATGTTTGTAGATTGTATAGTTATAATTATAAGTAAAAGTTCTCTATGCGGTTTACAAAATCAAAGATACAAGTTAAAATATGACAATAATGAAATAAGGAGCACAATAAAATGTGATATATTAACACAAACCTCAAATCAAGATCAGATAGGAACAAAGATAAATGATGATGAATAAAGTATGAAAGCTAAGACAGAATTTAAAAATTTTAAGCATGGTTTGAAAAAAAAAAAGAGCTTCATCTGCATTGTACTTGTACATTGTATCTACTTGAAGATAAACACCATTGAATTCAGAGCAAAGTAATCCCAATACTCTCAGTTAAATATATGTAGCAATGCAGTTGTAATTGTATTTAAGATTTCTAAGAAAACAAGACAGATTTATTAGATCTGGAATATCACCAATGCTGCATTCTTTACTGTTTATTTATAAATATACCTACAACCAAAGAAGTATGATTTTCATAGTTCTGTTTGCGTACATACTTGGGGATCACTTTGTTGTCACGGCAATTGCGTAGGAATGCGAGGTCACATAAGATGGTGGCTCTTTGGACTTCGAGTTTCTCATAGTTCCTGGTCAGCTGGAAGGTCTCCTCCCCGTAGAAGTAGGATATTTGTTTTCATAGATTTTCACAGCTACGGGTATGTAGGTTTTGGCGTGTTCTCCACAAACAATTCCCCACAAACACAATATCACTGACCAAAAAATAGCCAACATCCTAAGAAACCCCAAGGACAAGATAGAAAACCAAGGAGTTTATGAAATACCATGCAACAATTGCCCAGCCACATACATTGGACAAACCAACAGGAGAATAAATGCATGCATCGCAGAACACAAAAACACAGTCAGAAAAGAAGAAAATACCTCCTCCCTTTTCCAGCACCTTAAAGTCACATGAAATTAATTTTGAGGTTCAAATTTCAAACCTACCAGTACGAACAAAGTTGCTTCCTGCAAAGGTTCCTGTCCCTTTGTTCCTCCTTTTTGTCTTACGAGAGGGCCTATCACCTCCAAGCCTTACTCCCAAGTCGTTCCTTTTGTCTTAACTATTCTTGCCTTCTGGCAGCTCTGTGCACATGCACTGGGAACAGTCTCCCCTTGTTATTCTGCCTCACTGCTGTCAGATTCTGGAGGCTCCAGAGTCAGCACATAACTCCCAGATGGCCCTGGCCCCATCTCTGTATTGGACACAGAGGATTGGCCCATGTTCCTCCCCACTGTCTGACTCTGTTGCCATCTCCACAGGCTGCCGGTAGACCACAACATATTATTCTGAAGAATAAGAAAAAAATATGGCAAAGATTTAATAAGAAGAAAATAATCAGAACTACAATCAGAATAAGTTTCAATTAGGAATCAGAAAAGTTGATCATTAAGATTCAAAAGATCTAAAAACCACAGCTGTCTCCCATAGCTTTGTCTCTTAAGAAATAAACTATGTGTTCCCTTGCAGGTTCTTAGTATCTGTTTTATATCACATTCTGTTGGATTTATTAATATAGTATTACACAACTACATTTTGTCCAAAAATTTATCAGACTCCCCTAGATTCCATGAAACACTATCCCTTCTGTTGCATTCATATGCAAGAACTTATCAAACAAAACTGATTCCTTCCCAGAAAGGCAGGATGGCTATGGTCCAGAGGTCAGTGTTGTGATCAATGAGATTTGAAAACAGGAAGATGATGATTGGTCTTGAATGCTAACCAGCCAAAATAACTAAATGAAAGATCAATTGATTTTCTGAAACTGAACTTATCAGACATACATAGCAAAAATGAAAGCAAAAATGAGCAAACAATGATTAAAGAATAGCCAGTTGTTTACATAAGGAATTCACTCCATATGACATAGCCAAATATATTATCTTTTTACCTTATTTATAGAATAATAGATTCATGGAGGTTTTCTAGTTTAATCCACTGCCCAGGGCAGGAATTTTTGTATTTATCCCAAGCAAAGCTCCAAATGTGTATTTTCCAAAAGGCAACTGGACTTTCTTAGCTTTTTCCTTTGAAAATGTTTCACTTCTCATTCAAGAAGTTTCTTTAGTTTTAATTGACTATTGACAAATGGGAGAATTTATATTGTTTGCAATCATCTGATCATTAGCACACACACACACACACACACACACACACACACACACAAAATCCTTGAGACAACCATGACCTGGATGATTGAGAATCCCCATAGACATCACAGAGAAAGGGCTGTCTAATTTTTCCTTGCAAACTTCCAAAAATGGAACAATTCCAGGATATAGGCTATTCCATTATTTGATAGTATTCAAGGAAGAGAATTCTTATTTATTTCATTTTTGTATCTCTTCTTATGGAGGTAAAAAAATCAGTCTAGTAATATCTTTCTTGACAAACATATTTTATTGAAATATAAAAGCTTTGTATTTGTGAGAAAAAGGTGTCACCAAATTCTGATATATTTTTTTGCTGTTCAAATATTAGAAGATTGCTAGCTAAAAGAAATATTGTGTTCTTTAGGCTAAATATTCACAGTTCCTGTAACTATTCTTTACAGTGTTTAGTTTCCAAGTCACTGACGTTTGTAGCTCTTCTCCATGCCATTTTCAGTGTTTCAGCATCCTTCTTGAATTGTACCGAACATAACTAGACACAGTATTTTAGATGTGGTCTGAGAAGTCCATCATAGAAGAGAACTACCACTTCCCATGATCTTAACTCTGGTGTTAATGGCACAAAATTGCATTGGCCCTTTTGGCAGCTGCTAGCTCATATTTAAACTGTGGTCTACTAAGATGCAAGTAATATTTCCAAAATTTATATGTAGAGGTAATCCTCAAATTACAGTCAAAACTGAGCCCCAAATTGATTTCACATGAAAGGGTATTCTACAGAGGTGGTTTTCAGCAGGTTCTGACCAGTTCTGGAGAACCGGTAGCGGAAATTTTGAGTAGTTCGGAGAATCGGCAAATACCACCTCTGAGTGGAGATTTTACAGTATCCTTCCCTTGCCATGCTCACCAAGCCATGCCCACAGAACCAGTAGTAAAAATATTTGAATCCCACCATTGATATTCTAGTAGTTAAAACATACGTATATAGATTTTGAGGAATTTGAATTTGAATTTGTTAAAGAAATATTACTAAAGATATATAAAATAACAAATAGAATAAGAATAAGGATTAATAATTTAATTGAAACAGATATGAAAATAAGAATTTAAGATAGGGTTGTTAAGTAAGATATATAATTGTATATGGAAGATACAAGAAATTAATATTCAATATGGGGAAGGAAATATGTGGAACCTGATAGAAAACATATACATACATACATACATACATACATACATACATACATACATACATTTAAAAAAAATGCAAAAAAACCACACAAAAAAAAACCCTGAGCCCCAAATTTCTGTTGCTCAGCAGGACAGCTATTAAGTGAGTTTTGATTCATTTTATGACACTTCTTACTATAGTTGTTAAGTGAATCTGGCTTCTCCATTGACTTTGCTTGTCATAAAAATGGATCATGTGATCTGGGACACTAACCAACACAAATATGAATCAGTTGTTGAATTTTGATCACATGACCATGGGAATGCTGCAACAGTCATAAGTGTGAAAAACGATCCTAAGTCACTTTTTCAGTACCATTATAATTTAAAACAGTCACTAAATAAATTGTAAGTTGAGAACTATCTGTATACATCTGTTTATCAAGAATGAGGCTACAGTGAGCTTTTTCTACTGGCTTATTGAAATCTAAGTACATTTCATCCTTAGCATTCCTTTGATCCCCTAATCTAGTCAATTTACTCCCAACCCAACCCAAGTAACATTTGTATAACATGATATGGTTTTATCAAACAACACTGTACCAGGATTTTTGAGATATTGATATTATTTAACTGTAGTTTCCTGGGTCCATTATTCCCCCATTTAAGAAAAACAAAAATCTGGAACAACATTAGACTTGTTGTGAACTTCTGCCATTTTTGTTCTACTGTAGGAGTTCCCAAAGGAGAGTCATAGTTCTGAGATCACATCTATCAATTCCTATAGACTCTTGGTTACAATCCATCCAGGCACAGAGATTTAACTTTATTCTAAAGAATTAAGTGTTCTCTTACCAACCTCCTTATTAAATCCTGTTTTGAACTGTATTTCTCTTCTACCCCATGGTGTGACTTGATGTTTCCATTGCATCAAGAATATTGTGGGATATTTTACAATAATTTCTCTTGATGGCTGAATATGGATTTTCTACTTATTTAATGGATTGTGTGGTGAGCATAATTAATACAAAATAGGAATTAAACAGTTTAGACTTCTGCCTCTTGTCCATCACCATTTCATCATATCTGCCAACTCCCAGAGATTTTCTCTCTACAGTTACAAGAAGACAGCAAATTGAACATTACATGACAAAGAAGGAACATGTGCCAGCCTTGTGAGGTACTCCGGACAGAAACCACACCCAGAAGTACTAATTCTAATTTTATTGTAAGGTTACATTAACAGAATCTTGCAGGTTTGAAAGTTCATTTCTCCCCCTTCACTTTTATATTCTAAGTAACTAGAGACGGTCCTTTCTGATTTGTTTACCATACCGCCATTCCTTCTATGGCAGGGACAGGAAACTATGACCCCTTTATGACTTATGGACTTCAACTCCCAAAATTCCAGAGCTGTTTTTAGTAAAACAAAAAAAGAATTCTATAAAATAAATCACAATTCATTTGTGGGGGGAAATCAGAGGTGGTATTCAGCAAGTTCTGACCAGTTCTGGAGAACTGGTAGCGAAAATTTTAAGTATTCAGAGAACCAGCAAATACCACCTCTGACTGGAGATTTTACAGTATCCTTCCCCTGCCACACCCACCAAGCCACGCCCACAGAACAGGTAGTAAAAAATTTTGAATGCCACCACTGGGGAAAATCAATTAAATCCAATCAGCTTAAACATGATGACTCATATTGCCTTACAAACCCAATATCAGAAGATGTTTGAAACAGAAATATAGTGTCTTGTGTCACATAGGGCACAAGATTTGATTATTAAAAACCCAGAGGTAATGATGTATTAGAGACTATAAATTAGAGAAATGGAAGGGAAATATGAAATATTTGCTAGATTGTAATATAGGTCAATTATATTTGTTGAGACTAATGAATGTTAAAATATTTTAATGGTACCTGATCAACCATTTACTTTATTAGCTGAATTGCTGGTTAATAGTCCATCACGATGATTTAATCATTATTTAATAGAAGGGTGTGATTAAGGGATATCTGGGAATCATTCTGCATTTTACAACAAGATATACATAAGAATTTCAAGCAAGGTAAAATGTTTGGGAAGCAGATGAATGTGTACATGGGGGGAGGGGAGAACCTATAGTGCTAGATTCATGGAGTATGAAAGCTATAAATTGACTAAAGACTGAACAAACCTTGATAGCAGAGAACTCCTCTTTGGAACATTTTATGAGCAAGGTGTTTGGAGGGTAATAGATTTCATTGCTTTGGAGAAGTGTTTATTGCTTACCTTCACAGGTTTGCAATATAAATTTCATGAAAAAGGGACAGTTGCCAGTTTGGTAAGAATGAATATAGGGAATCGGGAAAAAAATTTTTTGGTCTAATTCATGCTGTGTAAAGCTTTGACAGTAAAAGAGTTCACATGAAGCACCTCAATGAAGAGAAATATACCATCACTTTCTAAGCCTTACAGGTAGTCCTTGCTTAATGACTGCCCTGTTTCGTGACCTTTTGAAGGTCACTTGATTACAAATCTTGTACTTATGACCATCGCAGCATCTCAGTGGTCATGTGGTCAACATTTGGTTGCTTCAATACTGGCAGACACTTATGACCATTGAAGCCTGCACAGTGGTCATGTGATCAACCATTTGTGTGCTTCTCAACTACTTTCTGATAAGCAGTCAATGGCTAAGCCAGCAATTAAATCACAAGTTGTGGTCATGTGATGTCTCGTTTAACTGGTGACTCACCTAAGAACTGAATGGGAAGTTACATCTTAAGTCCATCACAGTCACATAATGATTTACTTAATGACCACATTGCTAAGTGATGGAGTTACCATTGCCACTTATGGTTACTAAAGAGGACTACCTATAAAGACATTGGTGATACTGCTCAATCAAGAAAACAAAGTGGCTTCTGCACACTTTTTTTTCCAAATGAGGCAGACCTCTGTAACTGAAGTGGCAAAGAGAAGAAAACATTGCACATTCCTATTTCTAATAATATTCTTTTATGTTTATATATTCATCATATTTTTGTTGTTGAAAAACAGGAACTAGAAGAAATTATGTACAGTAGTAATATGAATTCAAAGGCTGAAAGCACAAAGAAGAAAGTTACATTGGGATCATATGCTATAAGGGAATAATGAGTAAAGTAGAGATATAATTTGAGATCAAAGGACTCAGATGAATAGTTTTGGTTTTCTAGGTATAGAATATGTGTTCTCATGGGAGAATCCTACCTGTTCTGTTTGTTACAGCCAATAAAAAATTGCATTCTGGCAACCAAAACAGAAATGAAGGCTGGACAGCATGGGTCAGAAAGGAATTATTACTTTCATATATTTATTTGAACCATACTTCTGGTAGCTACAAGTTTCTACACACCCAGTGTTTATTGAAACACTGGTTGAAGTACAAAGTTGTGGTAAAGTTCTATAATCCATTACTTCAGTCACTCAAAGATCTTATTATTATTTTTTTGCTACCTTTTTACTAGGAGAGAAGAGAAAGTTGTCAGTTTGAAAGGGATTAAAATTTCACACAAATTTGTTAGGAGGCTAAGATACAAGGAAGTGCAGGATTGAAATTCTGAGGTATAAAGGCTTAAGGAATGCTGCTGAAAAGGCAATGGACTGATACATAAAGCACTTTAATAGTTTTATGCCAACTAATTGCTTAAGAGGGGATATAATCATCAGCTACATATTATACTTACACACTGCCAAAGTCTTATTTAATCATTACTAAGGATATCATTTAGAATGAAGTGTGTCATTATGTAAGCTAAACCAAATTTTCCCATTGGATTTCTGAATTCAAATATTTTTCAACTGAAAGCATTTATTAACCATTATGTTAAACTATGAAATGGTAAAAGTTCTTAATTATAACAGTGCACATTCTCTTTGGTCAAGTCTATCCTTAAATGAATCTTTCTCATGGATTAAACTGAAGGATCTATAGGATCCCAGAAGGGGAAAAATGTGATGGAGCTGGCAAATTTGCTCATTTGTATTCTCCACGCTCATGTTGTGGCCTCCTTTTGAGAAATCCTAACAAGGCTAGTTTGTTTCCTGCATAACTAAAAATTCAAGTACACCATAAGGAATGCTGAGAGACATTCTAGATAGCTGTTCACACAACAAATTTGAATTAAATCTTATAAGAGCCAGGTAGAACAAAGAGTTCAAGATATATTTTACATGGTGAATCCTTGAGAAGCAAACATTTCAGACAAATGCCTAACTTATAAATTAGTATACAACCAGTTCTAATGATATTTTGTCATGGTATGTGAGGTCATTTCATATTTGTTATTGAATTTTTCTTGGTCTTTGAAACAAGCCTGTTTTTGAAAAAGCAGCAGTCTGTGCTATAGAAAGATTAGGCTGACCTGTATAAGTCTTTTTCTGTTCCATTTCTTTCTCTTCTTATTTCTGTCCATTCTCTATGTTTTTCCACTCAGATCTTGTTTTCTTCTCCAAATTATATGCCTCTTTTCCAAATAGGCTCCAAACCAACTCTCGCCTACATTTTCTCTCCCTTTTCAGGGCTTATTCTGCAATCATCTACAAGAATGCTTGGAAATAACTGACTTCAACAGGTCAACTTTCCAAATAAGGATATACAGAATTAGACAGTAAATTATAAATAAAGAAAGAGGCAAGTTTATTTTGACATTAAATAATTTAAGCAACTTTCCCTGTCTTTTGTTGTTGTTGTTGTTGTTGTTGTTTTCTTTCCTATTCCTATTTAAAACACTCCCCAATTTTCTTCTTTTGATCCATTCTTTTCTACTGAAGATCTTTCATCAAAACATTTCTAAAATGAAATGGAACACAGCCATGAGAGCTTTGTCACTTTTTGTATGCAAAGAGAACCAAACATTAAAGAATAGGGGAAGCAACTGTAGGGAAAGAGAAGAGAATAAATATTAAAAGGGAAGATATATATATAGTTACACGACATTATCTGTTCAAAAAGCCCAACAGCACCCCATTTGTGGGTGGCTTTCTATAGTAATTCACAGAAGATGTGTTATACATGCTCATGAGTTCCCTTGCTTGATACATTTATATTGGTCTCCTTTCCATTAGGACCGCTTTCTGATCACAAGGCCAAAGGTTCGGGTGGACTTACCATGACTTCTGTGATTCCTACAGGGAAATTCCACAGGCTTATAGTTCTGGGGGATTTCAACCTGCTTTCTCTGAGATCGGGGTCGGAGGTAGCCTGAGATTTTATAGAAACCATGACTTCCATGGGCCTGTCCCAGATTATCCAGAGCCTGACTAGTAATAGTGGTCACACTCCCAATTTGGTGTTCTTGTTGGAGCAGTGTCTATGTGACCTGGAATTGGTAGACCTTTCCTTGGTCCCCTTGTCATGGTCAGATCACAGTCTGGTGGCAATGAATTTCTCAAAAGCTGCATCCCCCCGCAGGGAGACAGGACCTATTAAATTGGTCCATCCCCATTGACTAATGGACCCAGATAGGTTCCAGAAGGAGCTGGGGGTTATAACTACAGATCTATTATGCAGTCCAGCCGAGCTCTTAGTCACTGTTTGGAATAGGAAGGTGACTGAGGCTCTGGATAGGATTGCACCCTTGCGACCTCTCCACACCCATAGATCTCTCTGTGCCCCATTGTATACAGAGGAACTGAGAGGGATGAAATGGATGAGGAGACATCTAGAGCGCCACTGGCAGAAGACAGGAGATTAACTCAATTGAACACAGGTAAGAGCTGCTACTAAGGCCTACCTTGTGGCGATTTGTGAGGCGAAGTGTAAATACTTCTCCATACTAATTGCATCTGCAGATAATCGCCCAGAGACCCTCTTTAAAGTGAGCCATCTCCTCTTAGGGAAGAAGGAGATTAAGGTCCACCTGAAGGGGCGCGCTGAGGAATTTGCAGATTTTCTGGAAGACAAAATCACTCAACTTCGTTCCCAGTTAGATGCCGGCATGGTTGCTGATCAGGTGGAAGCTTCTGAGGCAGGATCTTGCTCTGTTATCTGGGAACGGTTTGACCCTGTTGCTCCTGAGGAAGTAGACAGAATCCTAGAGAGTATGCATGCGAGCACCTGTATTTTAGACCCATGTCCCTCCTGGCTTGTGAAAGCTTCCTGAGAAGTGACAGGTGGGTGGACTCTGGCAGTGATTAATGCTTCTCTACAGGAGGAGACAGTGCCCCAGCACTTTAAGGAGGCTGTGGTCCACCCTCTTCTTAAGAAGCCATCACTGGACTCCACCCAGTTGGATAATATCCCATCTGTCTCCAATCTTCCCTTTTGGGGGAAGGTTGTTGACAAGGTGGTTGTGCAGCAGCTCCAGAGGTTTCTGAATGAAACGGATTATCTCGACCCCTACCAGTCAGGATTCAGGCCTGTATTTGGGACAGAAACAGCATTGGTTGCACTTTTGGATGATCTCTGGCGGGAGCGGGATGGGGGTAGTGCATCCATCCTTGCTCTACTTGACCTCTCGGTGGCTTCTAATTCCATTGACCATGGGATTCTCCTGGGACGGCTTCAGGGGATGGGAGTGGGAGGCCTTGTGCTGTCTTGGTTCACTTCCTTCCTCTGCGGCCACTCTCAGTCAGTGTTAATAGGAGGGGAGAGATCCAACCCTCACCCTCTGCTTTATGGGGTTCCACAGGGTTCGGTACTCTCTCCACTCTTGTTCAACATTTATATGAAACCGCTGGGTGAGATCATCCATTACCATGGTCTGAGAAATCACCAATAGGCTGATGATACTCAGCTGTATGTCTCGGACCATGGTGAGTTAAGTGTTGCTGTGTTCTCCCTCTCACAATGCCTGGAGGTTGTTAGGGGCTGGATGGGGAGCAATGGGTTGAAATTAAACCCATGCAAGATTTAGTGGGTCTGGGTCTGGGGTTCGTTGGTTCAGGGGGAATTACCACCTTTAGTCTTGGATGGGGTGGCCCTACCCCAAACAGACCCTGTGCATAATTTGGGGGTTCTGTCTGATATGTTGTGTAGGAAGCAGGGAATGCTGCGGGTCCCACCCCTGAGTGAGATACACCTGGTGGGACCTAGAAGAAGGGCCTTCTCTGTGGTGGCTCCATCTCTCTGGAACATCATTCCCCCAGAGATTAGAATGGCCCCCTCATTAATACTATTCTGAAAGGCACTGAAGACCTGGTTTTGCCAGCGGGCCTGGGGCACCCAGAGAGGGATGGAACCCATCAAATGGCTAGTGTGACCCACTGTCGTTGAGGTGAGAGTTGGTTTTTGTTTTTGTTTTGCTTTGCTTTTTTATTTTCCCAAATTTTGTTCTATTGTACTTTACTAATTTAGTTAATCCTTTTTGTTAGTTCTTATTGTTTTTATTTTTATTTTCTGTTTTAAATATGATTTTACATTGTGTAAGCCACCTTGAGTCGCCATGGGTGAATAGGCAGCAATATAAATCAAATCAAATCAATCAATCAATCAATCAATAAATAAATAAATAAAACTGTCTAGTTTTCAAACTGATTCACCAATCCAAGCAAATTCTACTTTTGTATAGAAGCTTTGGACAAATATTTGAAGATTTCTATATTCTGAAGCTTCCAATTGTGTAGAACTCAGGTGACATTTCTTTTTCTAAAAGGGGAAAACTAGAAGTTATGGTAATGCAATTTGGTTGGTCTGTTTGGGACACAGAGAATTATGGGCAGTAGGCTTGGGATGCACTTAAAGAACAGTAGAACTTCTGGTCATGACCATACTTCATTCTATAACTTTGGTTGCAACCCAATTTGGTTGTGACCCAAACCTAATTTTGGAAATTTGGCGCTTACAAAAAGAAAAAAGGCAGGGAAAAGGAAATTGGCTACAAAAAAAATTGTGAACTTTTTCGTCAGAACCCTATTTGGTCTTGGTCAGAAGCATTCGTGACCAGAGGTTCTACTGTAGTGTGTGACAGTGGTTGTTTCACGAAATTGTCACATGTTCTTCAGTCTAGGAGAAAAAAAATAACAATCAGTTAACCTTAAAAGAATTGAATTGGCTATATAAAATACCCGATACTTTGCTGGTCTTCAGAGAAAATGATGCTTTTTGAACAGATTATATTTGCACAAAGCATTTCTGGGTTAATACATATTAATACAGGTAATTATGTATCTTAGCCTTCTGTCGATATGCAGTTCACCAAGCTTTCCCATGGTCCCTGCTATTAATAACTTCCACGGATGTTATTAATGTGATTGAGAAGTGGAATCTGAGATCAACAGGCAGATCTCTCTTTCTCTCCTTCTCTCTGCTATCAGAGGAAGACTTCTGAAATACTTGATATATATTTTTGAGACTAGGATTTGCTTCTGTTTGGAGTGTAGATTTTGCAGCCCAATTGCGTTCATTTAGAGTCATTAGTCTGGATGATACACAACCCTAACAATAGCTTAAAATTGGAACTGGTGAATTTTTATATGAACTGATATGAGCTATATATTCCACCTACAGAGATAGATACTAAACTTATTAAAAGAAAATTATTTCTCTTTTGGAATGTATCAAATAGGGACAGTCAAGGATTTTTATTTCTTTAAGAGAATAAAAACTTTTTAAAAAAATCTTACAGATTTGAATGGGAGCACAATACTGTACCATCGAAGTGGATTACTATGAGGGATGGATTGACAGATTTAATAATGTGCATATATCGTCAATGAAAATTTGTAGAAAAAGGAAAATGCAATTGCAAAATATAGGGAAGGGAGAGAATTGATACCTGTCAGAAAATATGCTGGTTTAAAGAAATGCTAAACATTCTTCCAATTATTACCCTGCTTTGGCAATGAAGCAGAACAGCAGTTCTGTCCTCATAAGAATCAAAGAAGGAAAAAAAGAGACAGGGTGAAGAATGCCTCCTTTGGTACCAGTATCTGGCACCAGAGATCTCTGATCACATTCATTATTTTATCTCCTTCCCATCTCACAGGAGAAGCAAACTGTGGTGGAAGTAACTCTGTAGGCATCTTTACCATGGGGTTGCCATCTGCTTACCTCTTGCTTTTTAGACAACATCTCCCTAATGAAGCCATGGGGAGTTATAGTCACTTTCCTGCTTGTCCACACTGCAGTTTCAGAGTTGGCCCACTGTGTATTTTGCACTAAGCACTATAAATGCAGTCTTCTACAGGATGGGTAGATATATGTTTTAAATACCACTCACTTTTTTAGACACAGCTGCCACTCCTTGGTGGGATGAGATAGTTATACTACAGTGGAAAATGCTTCTGCAGGCAGTATCACTACAGTAAAGCACACCAGGGTAACTGTTGAACCCTTCTTGGAAACAGGCTCAATAGCCAGATTTTTCCATGGCTAAGCTTCCTATGATTTTAGTGCAGGACTGCTGGCTACAGAACTGCATCCACTCCACATGACATCCTTTTTGGGAATGGGGATGGAAAAAGGATCACTGGTATAAAAAAAGACCCACTTCCCCTCCTTCTCACCTTCTTTCTCCAACTGTCCAAAGGTTGGCAAGGGAAATGGGTAAAACGGCCTTTGGGGGAGGATGGTATGAGAGCTCTGACTCTCCAATTGTGAAACAGCAAGTGGATCTGTAAAACGGTGATCACCAATTAGATGGTAGGCATACACATAAGAACCTCAGGTGGCTGTAGAAACAAGGCAGGCCTTTGCCTCTAACCTAATCACAGTAGGATGTGCATCAGATGGATCAGATGATACAGCTTGGTGGGAAGAAACTACAAAACCCCTCATTAAACTGGAGCAGGAAGATGATTTCAGGTTGTCTTCTTGAACATGACATCATCTGTTCACATCCAGAGAATCTTTTCCTTGAAATATCACTGGCTTGTAGTTAACCAGCCAGAGGAAAATGCCATGTCACAGAGACAGGTTTTTAAAGAGATTATGTGATCCAGCCAAATATTTACATTTTTGTAAGTGTGTTATTTTTGAAGATGATTGAGTGTGATACAGCAGTCTGTGTATAGGTTTCAAAAGTTTTATGTTTTCATCCCCTTATTTGATTTGAGGAAAAGGACTGGTTTTAAAAGTGCACCCTGAAAAATACAAGAATTGAAATCTATAAAAATTACTTTTCATGTCTTGAATACCACAATAGGATCAAATTATTTCTAAATGCACATTTGACCAGTGCTTAAACTTTCCTGTCATATGAAATGCTGTTTCTTCTTGCTGCTTGTAAATTAAATTAAATTTTAGATTGCATGAAAAAAAAACTGTGCATGGATTATTTAGCAAAGATTAACAAAATTAGATTGTGTTTAAATATGACATAATGCTTTTGCTGTTGTTTTGTTGCAATGGAATATTATCTCTCAAGTACTGTAGAAACACCAAACCAGAAATTAGGGAGTTATAAATAGAACCCAGGTTATTATCAGATTTGTTTAGAAAAGAAACACAGTAATTCTTTCCAAATTCCATGTATTATTCACTGTTGCTCAGAACAGCAACATGTTAAAATTAAGCAACTGAATGTAAATCATGTTCTAAGAAATATGCTCTACTGCAGAGTCCCTGTGACTACTAATTTGGAGGTTTACAGGATGTATAATCAATGGTTATTTTAAGGCAAAAATCATAATAGTCAATGACAGAGTAGCAAAGAGGTCTATTGAATTTCATGACGTTAGTGTGATTATGCATCATTTCCTGTTTGATTCAAGAAAGGGAACAATTTTACATAAACTCTCCTCTTGCATCTAACATTTAGAATTAGGTTGTAACTTAGGGTCATGTAGCACTTTGGAAATAATTTGAAAAAGGTGCTTTAAAGCATGCAGAAGCGTGATTCTTACACTTGTTACTCTTTAAACTAACTACAACATATCTTGGAATTGCACAGCTACCCTCTGTCACATGATACCCCCAAAAAGTTGCATCTGCTTTGAACAGTTACAGAGGAGCCCTAGGTTTGTGGTATCATATGGTCCAAAGCTTCTTGGAATGGACTCAAAAGTATTGCATAGCCTAATACTTCTATCTTATAACCAGAGATAAAATATCCAGGTAAGAGGCAGAACTTGTGCTGTTTTTCCTCAGGTATTGCAACTGGATCTTAGTTGTCTGGAATTTCTATATTTTGGTAATACCATTCCTATCAATGAACTTTCAGATTTTTATTTTGAATTACGACATTCCACATTTACATGAAAAAAAACATATTGTAATCTGTATTATTTTCATCAAACTATCTGTGTATTGTAGGTGACAGAGAGTGTGGGGCAGCGGGGCAGACAAGAGGATGAATATAGCATCACAATCCAATCTATGTATGTGTGTTGTCACATGTATATAGGGATTTGGATGACAATGTGACCACTGCCATTTTGCTTATTTTGACATACGCACCCAGATGCTACATTTTGGAGGCTTTTGAAGCCAGTTTTTAAAGATGCCAGGTTGGGAGGGATCTTGTAAGTGAATCATGTTCATTTTTATAAATTTAGTATTAATTTTTTTAACTGCTTATTTGAATTAAAAATACAGAAAATTCTTGAAAAGCAGTGGTAGGTTCAGAAGCAGGTAAATAAAAATAAAGCAATAGCAATATATTGAGAGTTTTTGCAGTGATAATTCAGTGTCAGAAAAATAAACACAGATGGCTGATGCTTCATTTAACATCTTTATAAACATAAGTAGATTTTACAAACCAGTTGTAGATTTCTCCAACATGGAGCAAACTTAAACAGAAACATGTTGCAAGTTCAGAGCAGAGCTCCAGTCTTCAGCAAGCAAGCAAGTCAGTTTCATCTTCAATAGACAGACTCAGAGCTCAACACAGCTTCAAAGTTGCAGAGCTTAACATAGAGCCAGGCCTAAGCTACTTCCAGTTTCAGTTTCCAAACTACCCTCATTGGCTGATTTCGTTGCTATGCCTATTCATTGGCTGACCTTGTTACCAAGCTCTATTCCAGTTCATAAATATACTCTGACACAATAGCACTTAGACTTATATACCACTTCATAGTACTTTATATAATTCTCTAAATGGTTTACAGTGTCAGTCTATTGCCTCAACAATCTGGGTCCTCATTTTACCAACCTTAGAAGGATGGAAGGCTGCGTCAACCTTGAACCAATCACAATTGAACTCCTGGCAGTGGAACGCAGAGTTAGCCTGCAAGACTACTTTCTAACCACATAAATGTATCTATTGGGGAGATGGGTGGTATTTAAATAAAATAAACTAGATAAAATGTATGATCTTTTCAGAAATATTTATTGGACCAAATAAGAATGTGTAAAAGCAGCCATCTCCCTAAGCTAAAAACAGACACACTCCTTTTCAATTAAATTAACAGTTTATAGCATAAATGCTCTGTATGTTCATCATTGTGATTTATCTGATCTACCATCCTTCTTCACTGTACCTCTGAACCAGTCCCTGCCTTGCCCACTTTTTCCACAAAGAATTTGGCAGTGAAGGAGGAGAAAAAATGTATGTGTCCTTTTTGACCCCCTTTCTTTTCACATAGTTACAGGGAATACAGAGATCATGTTTATTTTCAAATCAATCCTTCAGAAGTTGTAAGTTTCCTTATAGTGTTTTACCTTACCACATAAGAAAATCAGAATGTGAATTATCTGGAAACTATTCAAATATTCATGACAGGGTGCAACTCTTAGGCAACCTTTAAAATTTAAACTGGGTGATTTTGTCTAATGCTTAGATGGGACATCACCAGGAAATTTCAGGGCTTCCAGGAGTAAGGATTTAAAATAATAATAATAATAATAATAATAATAATAATAATAATAATAATAAATAAAATAAAATGACTATTGCAAACAACTTTTATCTTGTTTTGAGAAAACTACAGGAAAATATCAATGTAGTTATCAGAAGATAAGCTCGCTTGAGGGAATTTTTTTTTTTTTTTTTGTAAATTTTATTTGAGTTTTCACAAAAAGAAAAGAAACACAATTAAAAGATCTTTTTTGAAAGCAGCATAATCCCGGGTTACATTTCTTCATGCAGACACAATTTCAGGTTCGTGCTCATTTTTATATTCTATTCCATATCTTATTACAATTTTACATTTTCTACATAGCTTCTCCCCTCTTTTAATTTCCTCAATTTTATTATATTTATTTCATCTCAATTCAAATCATTATATTTATATTTTTTGTCTGTCCTGTTTCAATTGTCTATTATCTTTTCTCATTAAACAAAATTTCTCCTGTAGTTACTGATTGGAGTATGATGCCTTTATATCTTTCCCCTAAAGTTATAACACTCAATATAATACATAGCTTCCATTCGGATTCTGTTTGGTACATTCTTAAACTACACACAATATTCTTATAAAAAAGAAAAAATTATAAATGTATATAATTAAAACAACATTCCATTCCAATTCGATTCTATCATTAATATTAAAATTCATTAAAGTCTTAAGATTTTTCATGTTACTTTTCAATTAAATATCATACCTCTATGGGAACAATTATTAGCTTTCCATAATCAATTCCCCCTCTCTTCACTTATAAAACATTGACTAATTAAAGTGTTCCCATTCCTTCCTAATTCAATTTTCTCATTTATTTTATTTCATTTACTTTATTCACAAACATTTCACTAAGTTACACTAACCATTCTATCCCTCATTCTAATCATATGTTGTTTCCAATTTTCTAAAGTTATTTCTATTTCAAATATAACAATACAATCTCATGTACCTTTACAGAATCCCCCTTTCAGTTAAATTTTTACCCATTATCTCTAAATAGATCCTGTTTGTTTATGTCTTGCTCCGGACCTTTGTGACTTCTTTTCCTTTCCTTCTTCCCTCTCTTCTTCTCTCTCCCCTTTTTACCCCTTTGTCTCTCTACCTCTACTTCCCTCTTCTGTGTTCCCCTTTTCTGTTCTTTTCCAGTATTATACTTATTTTTCAAATTATTTTTCTTTTCTTTGGTTGTTTTTTTAAATCTTAAATTCTCCATCCTCTTTCCCCCCCTTTCCTTTTTCTTCCCCACATAGAGTTACTTGTTCATTAAAGATGGCTTCTTCTTTGTCCCAGTCTTCTTGTTTTGCAGTCTTTTCTTGTTGTTTCTCATAGTTCCAAATCTCCATTTCTAAGAATTGAAAAACAAAACCAAAGGAACCCTTCCCTTCTTGTGCCTCTTCTTTGTACTTTTTAAGTTCCATTTTCAATTCATCGAAAAGTGATGCCATTGTAAAAAAATTTAAACAACTACCCGATTGATTTTAGTCATTCAAATATAATAGCCAAAAATCCAAAAGTCACCAAGTAATCCAAATACACACAAACTGTTTCTTTTTGCTCTTTCTTTTTTTCCCCACTTTCTCTTCCTGGGGTTACTATTTAGTTGCAAAGTTTCAGTTAAAATGTATCTTTTAGAAGTCTTATTGAAATTTTACTTCAGATTCTTTTAAAGTCCAGGCAGTCTCCTCCCTCTTCTGCCCTTATTCTTTTTCTCTCCCTTCCTGCTTATAGAAGAAAAAGTTTTTAATGTCCAGAAATCTTTATTGTCCCTTTGGCATTTAATTATATTTTCAGCTTAATTGCCTGTTGATGCCAAAGTGGATTTTTCCAATTTCTTATTCTTAATTGTCAATATAAGGAAGGAGAGAGAAGAAATAAAACACCAAACCTTTCCCTTTTCACTTTCTTTCGCTGCTTCTGACTCTTCTTTGGGAGCGATGTTATTTCTTGTAAAATTTAAATTCCAGGGTACCTTAGTTACTGCTTTTTCAACTTAGCCTGGTCAGCCAAAACTTTCACTTCTTATCTTTCTCCTGCACGTTCTTTTCCAGTTGAGTACTTCTTTGAGGTGGCCATTTCTGACCACCGCTCCTACCACCTTCGGGAAAGGGAGTTTGACCAGCTGAGGAGGAAAGATGCGGCTCTCCTCGACCCTGCTGGCAATCTCCCCCTTCTTCACCACCTCTACGGGGTGGCTTAGCCCTGAAACCAGCCAGCTTGGGGCGCTCCAGCGGCGAGCCCAGGCAGAAACCGCACATGATTGCGGATTCCTGTCTGTCGCCGAAGAGGGAAATTTTATTTATTGTTCACCTACCTTGTTATGCAAATTGGTTGCATACACCCTTCTGACTCTGGAATTGTTTTTATACAGCACAGCATTCAGTGATGAACAAGCTGCCCATTCCAATTCAATTTGCAGATATGCCAGAGAGTGTGGATAATTCTTGTAGGAAATAATTTCAACTGTGAGTTTCTTTCTGAAATTGAAACATGCCTGGCTTAAAATTGTCTATCTCTTACTAGACTATATAATCAAACTGAAGATAATTCTTCACCACTTGACTTATTCCATTTTATTTATTGTTTTACCCCCTCTTCTTGTAAATAACTATTTAATTTGCTTCATTTGGACATATATTGGCAACAGTCCCTCACCTTTTGAGATGGTAATCAATAGCAATGGAAACATATCACCTGTTCATGGTACCATGATCAGCCAAATAACATGAAATGACATGCTTTGGGTAATGCAGAATATATTACTGATGGGTAACTAAGATATCAATGCCTTTTTAATCTGGTCTTTGGGGCCTTTGGAGTTATGGAACTTGGAGGATAGTGATATGTGTATACATCTTTTAAGATATAGCATTAAAAAAAAGATGGCTCCATTTCTAATACTTGAGAATAAAGCCATCTCATCCACAAATTAATCAACTGAAGATGCTTCTCACATCATGGAATATATTCTTAGATCTATACATTACATATTCCTCCTATTTATGTTATTCTTGCACAAAACTGTGAAAAACTTTGGAAAGTATGAGATCTGATGTATAATGGAAAATTATAACCTACACATTAGTACAGGTATTACAGATCCAAATTCAGTCACTCTGAATTTCTGTTTCTTGGTCTCCTCTCCATTGAAGAAGTTCTAAGACTTCAAGAGTCTATCATATTAATTTATGTTTCATCCTTACGTGGCCCAACCCAAAATGAAGTAATTGGAAATGCCTAGCTGAAAATAATATAACCTGCATGATGAACCATTTCACAATGTGCTACAGAGAGTTAGCTGGAAAAGCAGTTTTAAGCAGCTTATATTTGATGGTTGAAGTGGTGCTTATTTTCCTCTTACTGATATGATTCGTTTCCCTTTTGAATAGAAACTCTGGAAGCAGTCCCAACAATATTTTCTGTGATCTTAAGTTCTCAAACTCTGGAAGAATTCCCAACAATATTTTCTGTGATCTTAAGTTCTCAAATGTCTTCTCTTGAAGACATTTGCCTTGATCTTCATTTCTGATCTTCAGTTCTGATTGCCTTGATCTTCATTTCTGATTTACCAAGGAGGGCTAAATGGAGGCAACCAGAAAGTCCTCTACACTAGATTTTCTACCAGCTGCAGGTTGGCTCAGTTCTGTATTTCCTGCCTTGCTTTTCATTAGTTTCCTCTTTCTCCCAAAGAACTGGGCAATGGGAAATGAAACTAATGATGTTTTTGTGACCTTGGAAATCTTCTTAGATTACAAGAAGCCTGCACCATATTGTGATGTTGAAAAGAAGATTAATGTCCAAAGGTCTCAATTTCCCAAGCTCATGTTTGTCTGATAAAATATAGTGACCACTGCAATTAATGCCTCTAGGCAAGTAATTTATGTCTCACTCAACTGCTCCCTCATAAACAAGTTATAAGATATGCCCCCAAATAATTTCATTGCTTGGATTCCCTGGAAATTATGAAAAATGAATAACAGAAGTCAGTGGCTAATGCTCTGAAATTCAGATATTTGGGGTAAATATACTGGCTGAATAGCAAATGAATAATTTTGAAAGAAAGAAAGATGTCTTAAATATTCCTAATATTTTGTGTTATTACATTGTCACATAGTGCTGCAGAATTATATATGATCAGAAATACTATATTTATCTTAAAAATCAAAATATTTTCTGTATAAGAGGATGAGCAATTATGCATGCTATTAAGGACTCCAACTGCATAGCAATAGCAATCAAATTTAACTTATACACCACTTACAGTGTTTTACAGTATTCTCTAAGAAGTTTATAATGTCATCATACTGCTCCCAACAATCTGGGTCCTCATTTTACTGATTTGGGAAAGATAGAAGGTTGAGTCAACCTTAAGTTGGTAAGGATTGAATTCCTGGCAATGGGCACAATTAGCCTGCAATATTGCACTCTAACCACTGCACCACCATGGCACAGCAGTCTGTTGAGAATAGGTCTATTTGCATGCCAAGGATGAGATGTGTTGAAGCAATAAGTGAGCTTTCTGGCATTGTTTTGTCTCTCATATAATGTTTTCATCAAAAATTTTCATAGAAAAATGTGGGATAGGCAGCATCACCAACAGATGGATTTGTAAATGGCTGACAAACCATACTCAAAGAGTAGTTCTTAACACTACATCTATATGGAGGGAAGTAAGCAGTGGGGTACCACAATGTACCATCTTAAGGCCCAGTACTCTTTATAAATAACTTAGATAAGAAAAAGAAGGGGATCTCATCAAATTTGTAAATGACACTAAGCTGACATGAATAGCCAAAATCCAGGAAGACCAGGTTCAAAAAGACCTTGCTAGACTTGAACAATGGGCCATATCCAACAAAAGAAAATTTAATGTGGAGAAACGCAAGGTTTTGTACCTGGGCAGGAAAAACCAAAGGTACAAGTATAGATTAGGCTCAAAAATAGAAACTGTGAGAGGGATCTTGGAGTCCTAGTGGGTGATCACTTAACCATGAATCAGCAGTGTGCAGGAGCAGCCAAAAAAGCTAATACAATCCTTGACTGTATAAACAGTGGTATAGAATCAAATTCACATGAAGTATTAATACTGATTTATAAAGCCTTAGTAAGACCATACCTGGAATACTGCATCCAGTTTTGGTTACCACATTACTAAAAAGATGTTGAGTCTTTGGGAAAAGTGCAAAAAAGTGCTAAAAGGCCTGGAGACTAAAACATATTAAAAATGGTTGCAGGGTTTGGATTTGGCTAGTCTCGAGAAAAGATGGACTGGGGGCACATGATAGCAGTATTCTAGTATTTGAGAGACTGCCACGAGGAGGAAAGGGTTAATGTATTTTCCAAAACACCAGAGGGCAGGACAAGAAACTATGGATGGAAACTAATCAAGGAGAGAAGCAACCTGGAATTAAGGAGAAACTT